CCCCCTTTAAGATAGCCAAAGGCCCCTGGGCTACAGCATTACAGTAGGCCCCCCCGACCCCAGAAAACCTCTTTTTTTTTTTTTTAAGCTTCCTAACAATAATTTGTCAAATTTTTTTTGTCTTGTTAATATGTCAGTTAACATTCACAACACTGTTCAAACTGTTTTTATTTTGAAACATGACATGCTCACGTTTAATTAGTTAAATCACAGCCGTATAAAGTTTAACGATCAAATTCCTATTTTTCCATCCCCGTATATATTTTTCCATTCCATTTCTTCTCCGTATAAAGCGCAACTCTTTACCACCGGAATGCGATTTTTAAAGGTGACCCCCTCGAAACGCGATTGGACTAGTTTTATTGCAAAAACCTGGCAACCCTGTTTATAGGCGCCACCTGCTGTCAGAGAGTGCGTCTCATTCAGACCTGCTGTTTTGGTTTCGTGCAGATGTTTTATGCAGCAAATAAACAAATAACACCTAAAGTCAGACAATTCTGTTTTTGTTTTAAATCCAACTGTGTGGGGGGAACCTAAACTGAGCCATTCACTATATAGGCTACTACAACCAGGGCATCGCTAAAAATGAGTGTGTGAGTTTGTTTACAGAGCTCTGTTGTCACTGCTGCAAACTCCCATATAAATAATTATTCAAGAAATATAATTTCCCTGCAGCCAGTGGGCCCCCTTTCCAGTGTAGGCCCCTGGGCGTCAGCCCCTTGAAGCTCGTGCATTAATGCGCCCCTGTTCAGAGCATATGAATCCAGGTATGAATAGACTGCTAGCCAGCCTTATAGTAAGTTGGGGATATTCAGCAGCCAATTCCCGATTCCCTGCTGAAGGCAGGTCAATGATCATCAAAAAATGTTACATTTTGTATTTGAGTGACCCAGTGCACTTTAAAATCCTGCAATTCCTGAACGGAACTTCAGAACTTTACAAAATTAAGCACGTGACATAGGCAATAGGTAAAACCCAACATACACTTACAAGTACATTACTACTGTAATATTTAACATGTCTGGCTGACCTTCTGTGCACAAGACCTATCAAGTCCGGTGATGCAAGGCCTCTCTCTGCACCACAGTACATCAACTTCACCTGCCTTTAGTAACCGAGAGGCACGGATGAATTTCAGTGGTAGACACCAGATTGATTAAACTTTATTATTTCTTTAAAAGACTTAATCTCCATCTCATCTGAGTTTTGGCGTAATTCATAGTCTGCTCATGGGTAGCATATGATAGTATGCAATTAAAATAGGTAAAGATGGTGCTTGCTGAATGTAATTTGTGACTTTCATGTTTCCTTCTGACCTTAGGTGGGTGAGGAGAAAAATGACATCTTGTTTTACACTAGGTTGATCTCGGGAAAAATATACTTTGGATACTTTGTAGAGAACTGAAGCTGTAACAACTAATTGATAAAATGCAATGCAACAGCAAAATCCATCCATCCATCCATCCATTCATCAATCAGGTATACCTGCACAAGTAATTAAAAAGCTCAGGTGCATGTATAAAAATATACATGCCTAATTTTAATTGAATGTATTTGTTTCTCTCTGCAGGAGAAGAAATGAGAAGGAACAGTTGAGCATATGATTTCAACAAGCAACCACAGCCATAGGCAGTTTCACTATAAGACAGACTGTCACTATGGTGCCTCTACTCCAACTCTTTCTTCTAATGCCTCTAATTAAGCCAATCACAAATCATGTCCATGGAAACTCTCTTTCTTCTCCAACCACTCATTCAAATCACAGCCTGTTTACTCACACTTACATGCTTGTCAGAAAAACTGATCACAGATTGGCAGCCAATGCTGCGTTAGAAACTGTGAGACCGTTTCTCCATGGCTTCTATCAGAATAGTGTCATTAAATCAAGTGGAGATTCAAACGAATGGGCAGAAAGCAGAAATACTGAGGACACATTGTCAGAAAAAACATCACATACTGACATAACTGGGTCAAGAGGTATATTTTTATTATCACCCAAAAACAGAGTCAAAAGAGGTCCTACCCAAAATGCCAGAATACCACAAGATGCTGCTGGAAAAGAAAAGGAGACTGCTGATGAGACAGAGTCAATGACAGAAGAACCAGTTGCTGAATTCGAAGAGAAAGACTTGTCAACAGTTGGGTCAGGTGATATGTTAATACCCAGAGAAATGGGCTTCGTTGGATCATCAACAGAGGCAATATCATCTCTTGATAAAAAGCATACCCAGTACAGACCGCAAGTTCAGACTGCTTATAGTGTGCTGGCTAGTTTGGCCACAGTACAAACAAATCCAACAATCAACCCTTCACTCGGGAAGGGTTCTACAACTTCACCACCTATTGAAAAGCCTGTACCCACTTCCAGTAGGATTAGCCAACTGGACGCCAACAGGACTGAACTGGAAATAGGTAGAGTATAGATGTAGTAATGATGCATTCACCTAAATAAGTGAAATTAAAAATGGCACCTTTGAGATTCTACTCTTTTACTCAATCACTTGTTTCTGGAGCAACAATAGCGAAATAGTTCACTATATTATTTTACGTCTTTATTCTGGTAAAATTGTAATTACAAAGATTTTTACTTAACATTTTTTTCTCTAGTTGTAAATTCATACAGTAATTATAATAGTTCTGTCGTGAAAACTAGAGAAAAACTGTTAAAAAAAAAAAACTTTGATTTTGATGTTACTGCACCATTCCTCAAATTTTCTTTTGTTTATCAGGTAGGTTTGGGATAACCACTCCAGCTAAAATTCAGCCAAGGCAGTTTACCACTTTACAGTCACATACTGAAGCCACCTCTCTTAGCACAAGCACAACCAATCTACAACTAGAGGCACCATCACTGGGAGTGGACATCATTACTTCCAACTATTCACAACCAAAAAGCACTTCACACTCAACAAAATCAGCAAAAATACCCAATGACCAGTCAAAAGAGCCAGGAATGAAAGGAACAGTGACCGATATAAAGAACACTAAAGGTATGCTTTATCTGAATAAAGAAAAAAAAAAGGTTAATTTGAATCTTGTTCTTTCGTAACATTTGTAACAAAATATAACATTTTTGATTTGATTGTGGGTCTGTTTACACTTGTGATCAGATCATTTATGTACTTATCATACTTAAGACATACTTAAAATTATATTTATAAGTATACCTGGCTTATTCTGACAACTATACAGAAAGTATACTTGGCCTATACTTGTATCTTTTGATCAAGATATACTTAAGAAAAGTATTATTAAGTATTAAGTATACCTGGTTATTAAACACTTTTTTCCCCACACACTGGCTTCTTTGAGGTGGCACTGCAGTTTTATAAACTTACATGTCAGCTTTGTGGTGGAATATTTATTAATTGAACTTAAGTAAAGTTCAAGTATATTTTAATTTAAGTAGCAAGTATACTAATATTAGCGCACTAGTAGTATACATACTAGTATGTGTTCTATTTTAATGTTTCTTGAGAGTAAATTGGTTTGAGAAAAAAACTGCTTTAAGTGTAACAGTAGTAAATTTTACATCTATATATTTTTATAATTTTGTAACTGTACTTTAAGTTAACTTATATACAGTATTGTTAGTTTACCAAATGAATATTTCTAATCGATTTTTTTAGTTTACGAATGTACACTTTGAAGATTACTCTCAGTAAACTGTTATTTGAATAGTTTTTCATACTGCAAGTGTACTTGTTTTATCTAAGCATCTAAGCATAAAACAAAATTTTACATACAGTATATCTGCATTCAGTGTCTGCATTGTAAGTTCATTAATACTTCATTAAAATCGCATAGAACCTACTATATACAGTACCAATTAACTGTCCAGTGTGCGATGGCAGTGCTACCTTATCTAACTCTGTGCTATGAACAAATGTTTGGGAGATGAGTGATACTTGTTAATATGTTGTCTGTTAATGTTACTGGCTTATGGATAATTTTACTGAACACATTTTCTAAATTGGTCGGCATGTTCTTCCTGTTTCCTTTGGTTTCCCCGCACAATCCAAATACATGCAGGATAGGTGTCTGTCTGTAGGTGGGAATGTGTGTGTCTGGTATTGTGACCTAGTGAGTAAAATGGCTTATTGAAAAAGAAAAAAATTCCACACGGGACAGAAGAGAGGATTGTCAGTGGGGACAGCAACTGTTTGGTTACCCATATTCTTCTGTATTCAACAGGAGTTTAACAGGGTTAAAACAACATGAGGTTGAGTGAATGATGACAAAATTCCTTTAAATGTATGAGCATTCAGTTGTCCAATTCACGTTAATCAGAGGTCAGAGTTATTTTGTCAAAATTGTTACATCAACAATCAAATTTTACTAATCGCAAAACAATGCTCAAATCTGTGTAAGACAGCAATTTAGGAATTTTGATTCAGAACTATGTATTGTATATTGTTTTATAAAAAATGGTCTGAAGATGATTGCATTGTTGTATGTAGTTTATGTTTACATTTATTCATTTGACAGGCGTTTTTATCCAAAGCGACTTACATTGCATTCAAGGTATACAATAGGAATCAAACCGATGACACTGGCGTTGCTAGCACACTGAACTATTGTTTCTGCTAAGGAAAGCCTATGTGCTTGGTTTATGTTATGCATTTTACACAGTTATCTCAATAATATTTCCTTTCTCTCTTTTGCTTTTCACAGACATACCCACTTTTCTAAGGACTGCCTCCCCTCACCCGACTGGACATGGACATTTTCTATTCTCAGAAAATGATGGAAGATTTACAGAGAAGGACCAGTCAGTCTCACAGGGAATAGTCCCATCTCTGAAGTCAAACCCTGCCTCTCCAACCTATGCCCTACCCAAGGACCCCTGTGCTTCTGGTGTGGGTCCCTGCGTTTTTTCCAAAGATCAAAACAACGATGATAAATATGGAACAACAAATGGGAGCTTTTTAGTGTGGGCAGACTTAAAACGCACACTTTCATTTGCATGGGAACTGCATGTATTTGGTTCTGCTGCGCTTTTCCTTCTGCTGACTGCTGGCTCAGCCCTCGGTTTAGCATTATCTCCCAGCTTGAACTGCCCTCACCGTGGTGAACTGATACTCACCAATAGCCTCTTGCTAGTTGCAGGTGCAGTTAGAGCAGGCCACTTCTTGCTCGACCCATATGGGACTCGGCTCCTCCTGCCACCTCCTGTCGTAATAGCTTTATACACTCTGCCGTTACCGCTGTTAATTCTGGCACAGGCTGCATTAGTGATACTGGTACTAAAAGAGACAGGGGTAACCTGGCTTCCACCAACACTTCAGCGTCCCCCTCTTTTAGGAGTGTTAGCTGTTTTCCAATGCACTCTCCTACTTGCTGCAGACTTACTTTCCCCTGCGCTTTCGCCTGCTGTTCCCATTGCCCTCCAGAGCCTCACGCTGACTGCAGGCCTCGTACTGTGTTTAGGCTACCTTTTCTTGGCACTGCCACGCTTCTCTCACACACATGCAGCTCGGGCAGGGAATAAGGGTACGGGTGAAGGAAAGGTGCGGGTTTTAGCACGGATACTGGCAGTGTGTGCTCTTCTTGGGGCGCTGTGCTGTCTGTTGCACATTTATGCCTGCTTGTGGCTGTATGGACTTCTAGGAGACTGGAGGCGCTTTCGTTGGGCATGGTGGCTCTGTCAGTTCTGGGCACGACTTTTGGAGCTTGCCTGGGCTTTCTGCCTGCTTCTGATGTCTTCCTGGGTCTTCTGGAGACCCAATGGAGGAGCACCAAGACAGGAAGGAGCTGCCACAGCAAGCTTGGCCTCACCCTCCCAATCATCAGACTCTACCAGCAGACATACTTGCTGGGCGAAGATTGTGCAGAGCCTCAAGGTAAGGCAACAAAGGAAATCCGAAAGCAATGGGATTGGAGGGTCAAATAGTGGTGCAGGGGCCGGAGAGTTGCCCAATAACTGGGCAGGACAGGAGCGATCAGGGGCAGACATTAGCAAGAGCCTCATACGAAATCGTGATCCACTCAAAGACAGCAATCATTTGCGCAATCTGAAAGGCTCTGCAGGTTCATTGCTAAGGCTGCAGGCACTTGCTCAGCCACCTCAGCGCGCTTTAAGCAGCAGTTTGGACAGGGACAAGGAGTCAGCCATATCCCTCTGCGATTTTGACCTGCGCCCGCCAACCCCAATTGACCTCAGCCGCAGTATTGATGAGGCACTTCATCGTGAGCATCTATTATGGGGTGAAAGTTTGTTCCAGCCACTGCGACCGCCATCACCTCCTCCGTCTCCGGACCTGTGGATGCGACGGAATAGTGACCCCCAAATCACGCTGTCATTGAGCAGTGATGAACACACATTGCTCACAGAGTCCTCCGCAGGTCTGGATCGCTCCATTCCTAGTGCTGTGCCCAGCCGACAAGTCACAGCGCCCCCCACACCCACTCATCAGGGCTTCCGTTGGGTCTCTGAGGCACAAGTGCCTTCCTCTTTGTCCTGCCCGGTCTCACTGCACCCTTCCCCAAGCACAAGCCGTGACCTCGTGCCCAGTGCAGAAAACACAAGGCCGTTTCTAACCCCTGACCTTGACAGTTCACTATCAAATACCAGAGGGGGGCAAAGTTACTTGAAAGTCGCTCGAAATGATGACTCAGCCAGTGTCAGCAGTGACATTATTGACCTTTGAACATGTTATGACGCACAGCAACTCCAGATTACAACACATTCACATTCTCTAAAAAATAGAGATTATACATTTAATCCTGACTTGCAGTTTAATTGCTGTATAATGGCACTTAAAGGGGAGGAGGAACATACTGTTAGGTGGCTTCATCAGATTTTATTAAATGGACTGAAATGTTAAGTGCAGTAAGCACTGGAAATATAAGTTTTTCCTTTAAAAGTCTTGTTTACAGTAATGCACATACTATAGAAGTCTATGGGGCAAAGCATACCAGAGGCAGAAATCTGCAGCTTGTATTCGCTATTATTAATGTTTTCGTACAAAATGTGTGTTATTTGATCTGTAAACTTGTCGTTTTAGTGGTGGGATCACTATTTTAGGCAAAATAACCTCTAGATGTGAATTAACGTAATTTCTGTTGGTGTAGTTGCTCTACGTAAAATACTTTGGCAAAAAGTTAGTAGTCTCCTGTTGTCACATGTTATATTTAAGTTTTGTGGCTGTACTTTGCAGTAGTGTGCGTATTTTGATGTTTATTCTGGTGCAGTGCCTTGTCCCATAGAGCAACCTAAGTGTTACCTTAGCATGCATTGTGAGAGCTGTGTCTGGACAGTGTTTTTTCCCCCTGTTGCACTGCATTTGAACAGAAATTATACTGGATGTGCCAGAACATGTTGACTTTCTGGCCCATTCTTTGTACTTCCAGTTTATTCCTGCAATGCAGCATACCTAAAACATACTATTCTCACAACTGGAGTTATGTTTAGTAAAATAAGTTTGATATAAATGACTTGTCAGCAAAGCAGACCAGAATTTGGTGGTTGGTATATTCAGCGGTTTAGTCAAAATTTCAACACAGCTGGATGCTCAACTCATAACTACTTTATTCGATACAGAAGAACTCTTATGTGAGCAATAAATTATAAAAAGCTGTGAGTATAACTTAGATTATGTATATACTATATTTTTGTTTGTAAATAATGATGTATTCTGATTACATTTAATGCATTTACTGTGAATGACAATCTTTCCTACTGCAAACATATACTGATCCTGGCAGAATAAGGACTAAAGATACACTAGATTTCTCCAGGCATATCTGTCTGTAGGACAATAAAACAGGTACACATCCTGAGAAATGTTAATGTGCACCATTTAAGTGTGACATGAAAGGAACATGATTCTATGCTTTGTACATTTTCTTGTTGTTTAGTTGAAAAGTTTTGTTCCTCTCCCTTTCATTTTTAAAATGGCAAGGAACGGTTTTAATATTACTTTTATATTTGCAAATAAACAGGATGTTGTATATAGAGATTCCAGTCAGAGGTTGATGAGCAAGTTTTTGTTTAGTGGTTTCAGTTGCCTATTCATTGTCAGTCACTGACGACTATATAGCTGTATTAACATTTGCATAGGTTTCCCTCTTACAAAATAAATAAATAAAAATCAGTGCCATAGCAGAAAACAAATACTTTGACTTAACCAGGCACTATCTGTGCTTGTATTGTGCTGTGCCATATTTTGACTGAATTATTTTCTTTCTTTCTTTTTATTGTTTTCAGCTAAAGTCTGCTTTCTATGCAAATTGGACTTTATAGAATGCACTGTTTGCATGGTACAATTGACTGTGCTTTTGCCAGTTGTGGAAAGCAGGCATGCTATTACTGGTCACAGCAGCAGTAATTCATCAAATGATGCTCAAATAATGTAGAAGCACATTATAACTGGGCAAGCCATCACACATGGTAAACTGTCAGGCACAATTTGGCCATTTTAAAGAGATGATTCAGGACCCTGGACTGCAGTAGTGGAGTATTGCTGTACAGTCCCAGCAAATTAGGCAGTAGTGTGTCGTATCCACCACAACCTAATACTCAGAACTGGCCTGCAAGCTGGGGAATCGCACCAGACATGTTTACACCATTTCCTTATTTGCAATTTTTTTGTGGGTCCTAGAATAAAGCAGACAGTGCATTAAAAACAAAACATGGGCACTAGTCATTCTTACTGAATTTTCCCCCTGAATTTTTTACTTTTATTTATTTAGTCCCAATGCATTTTTGTATGGTCAAGTTAGCTTTTGAATAAAACAAATGAAAGAGCTGTCATCAACATACTGTACTGAATATGATAAGTAACTTTTTGATGGGACAGTTTACACACTGTTATTTTAATTATATTTCATGAAACTTTAATCATCTAAATAAGCACCACTGTCTTTGTGAAAGAGCGGGCTTATCACAAATTTCAATGTTTTTATATAAAAACACATTTACCACTTTTAGCAGAAATTTTCAGATTAATGCTGAAATTATAGTTTTCTTTATTGCATATTACACTGGGATACAGAAACATATAACTGGAATATATTTTGATATAAAATATTAATATTCAGATTTATTTTTTTATTCAGTGTTATTTCTGGTGCAAGACCCATAACTCAAAAATTCCCAGAACTAAAAATTCTATAAAAAAACAAACAAACTCAATCAAATCTCAGTGCGGAACTTGACAGTGGCGTTCTTCATCTTCTGTTTGTAGACCTCATCAAACTGTTCATTTTGTGCCACAGTGAAATGACTTTTCCAGTCTCCAACTTTACCTTTTGGAACAAAAAGATGATAAAAGCAATTATTTTACCTAAGGTATTTTTTTTTTTTCTGACAGAATTCAGAAGGTCTAAATTAGATCAGTTGTTTATAAACCTTTTCTCATGAAGGGTGAGATCTTGAAGTCCATGACTGGGATAGTGGAATAGTTGGTCATCTTGTTCTGTTTCATGGCATCAAACTGAACCCCTTTTGTTATTTTCTCCCTCTCTTCAACTGAGGTTGACAAACCCAAGAAGGAGCACAAATGAGCCACCTCATGTCCAGTGTCCTAAGTAAGACACATGGAAAATACACATTAAACATATATATCAATTTCATGCTTCATTAAAAGGTCACTTTATGAACAGAACTACTTACTTCCACCAAATCCTCATAGAACATGTACAGTAAGTTAGAATAAGTCTGTTTTTTCTCCCACCATCCATTGACATGGTCGAACCAAGAACCAAACACTCCTAAAGGGAATATTAAAACTATTTTTAGTGGTAACTTTCTTGCACATAAAAGAGAACTTTAATATTTTTACTCTCCCAATGATTTTGTAGTTATAACCTGTTATTGTAATAAATATAAATATGTAAATATATTATCAAAAATGGTTCTTTATTCAGACAATTTAATTGAATTACTTTACAAAATATTTTACTTACTCTTTCCTTCTATAAATGTCTGTAAGAAGGTGTTCCAGTCTCCTGGTTCAGGTTCTCCCATGTTCATTCGATCAAAATGAAAATAGGAAACGGCATTGTCTTTTGCATTCCGTGCTACATACACAATCTGAAATAAGCGGACAGAAATATTATGAGTATAGGGACCAATTCTCACTATTAACTAGTTGCTTATTAGCATGCCTATTATGAACATATTGGCTGTTTATTAGTAATTATAAAGTAGTACATATTCTGCATGACCATATACATCCTTAATCCTACCCAATACCTAAACTTAACAACTTACTATCTATTAATAAGCAGCCAATTAGTTTATTGAGGCAAAAGTGTGGAGCACTGTATAACACATCTGTTCAAATCTCCCATAGGTGTACAAGTGGGTTGACTGTGAAGGCCATAGAATATGATACAAATAATTTTAATATTCATCAAACCATTCAGTGAGCCCTTGTTCTCTGTGCCTGAGGGCATTGTCATCCTGGAAAAGACTACTTCCATCAGGATAGAAATGTTTCATAGGATAAAGGTGATTACTCGAAACAACATTGTAGTGATTTGAAGGGGACAAATGGGCAAGCCACGGCAGAAAATGCACAGGGCAACTCGATCTCCTGGAGTTTCCTTTAATTTGTCACCCGCATATATATGAATACTGCTTAGTTAAAAAAGCATGGTCAGTGACCACATCAAACACTGAGAGGCATGAAAGCCTATACACAATCGTCCAAAGTGTTCCTTATGTTTCGAAGAGTTTGACATCATCCTATGAGAGATTCATTACATGTTGCTAGCTACATCTCATCACGGAGTGAAAGATGCCCCATATACCGGTACTTTACCCTTGAGTTTTGCTCCCAGAAGGACTTAGGCACAAGCTGAACGGGTAAATGAGTTTTGATGAGGCGAGGAGAAGTGGGCAGATTATCAGCCAGTTCTGTTCCTGAAAGTAAAAAATATGGCTCTAAATTAATAGTGTCCTAGTTGTCATTGTGGTTAGATCAAGACATACAGTGAAAAAACAATATTTGAAGCATTCATACTGTTTATAACTTATTTAATGTCACTTTAGAGTACTGGCTAGTGGCTCCTACAATTCAGTAAAAAGCCTCACCATTCTAATTTGTTTATAATGATAATGGACAGTACCTCACAGAAACTACATTAAGACACCAACTCTTGTTTGCACTTATACTAAAGACTCACTGCTGCAAAAGCAATATAAAGAATGAACAAAACTATGCAGGGTATAAGGAATCATAATCCAGATTACATCATGCATATCAGAAATAAAACTACAGACACTTTTGTAGCTTACTGTATTTACCCCTAAAAGGGTGCATATTGTTCCTTAAAGGTATATTAGTACCTTTTGAAAGGGTAATTCTCTTTGACAGCTTTTGTAACTTTTTCTGAGTCTTCATACTTCATACTTAAGTCTTTTGAGCCAATGGACTACTTAAAATAAAAACACTATGATCTTCATTACTTCTGTTTACAAACATTGTGGTTCGCTTGTTTTCCAGTTATTCATGTTTTCAATGTGCTGTCACCCAGTTCAGGTTAGAAGGGTTAAGATTAATTTGATGTTTAACATTGTTAAATAACTTTAACTCAAGTAAAATAGAATAAGAATAAGCCTAGAATAAGAGCACCAAATTACACACACACATGCACACACTGGTTTCTATGTTTATGGGGACATATTTTTGTCATATTAGATGTATGTAATATCTCCTAAACCCTAAACCTACCTACCACTCACAGAAAACATTGCATTTTTGGATTTAAAAAAAAAAACTTTTAGTATGATTTATAAGATGTTTTCCTCATGGGGACAAAAAAAATGTCCACACAAGGTAAAATGTGACTGGTATTTCTATCCTTGTGGGGACATTTGGTCCCCATAATGCAGAGCAGGTGCTGGGTTGCTGCAGGTTTATGGAAAAATACAGTACATTAATGTTTTTACCAGAAACAACTTTGTTGAGCTATACTATGTGGAATGTGGAACAAGTTGTGCAGGTAGTCAATTAGATTTTGAATGCAATTTGTAAAAAAAAAAAAATTTGCAGTGCTGCAAATTTGTATATTTAGTTTACATTAAATGCAGCAGCACCTGCACAGTAAAGCCAGCAGAGGACCTCAGTGTGCGCTTCACATATCTCTGAAGAAATACAGAGAACTGGCTCTGATTAGTAAAAAATGCAGTGGCATTTTACTTTTGCTGAGTACAAAGCAGACAGTTTAAATCAACCTGTCACAGTAGGCTACATAAATTAACAGAACATGTGGAACACAGAATCCATGCAGGACTTTAAAATGCGGAATGTGGAAGACATTAAAAATAAAATGATAAAACAATGATTTAAAAAATAAAAACACAAAAAAAAAACACATTAAAAACACACAGAATACATTAATTAATTCAGTGAAATCTTATTATACTGTGGTCTCTGACCTGATGGTATCACTTTAAAACATGACTCCAGGAATGGCACTCTTGTATAGATAGGCTGGGAAGTCTGGCGCTCTGGAGCATCGTTACCAAAGTACAGAAGGTCTAGAATATATGACACCCAGGTGGTACCTAGAAAATCAGTGAAGAGTAGAAAATATTACATGCTTTAGACTCTTTCCTTAGAAACATAGCAAGATACATATAACAAGATATGAAATTATATATTATTTTCATTGGTCATACGCCAAGGTGCACTACATCTATTCTAGAGAGCGCTATTCCTCATCCTGGTTGCACAGTGATCGCTCAATGTAGGCTAAATGTCCACATAATCAGCTATACACTTTCACATAATCAGCTATACACTTTTGGATTAGAAAATCCAAAAATAAAGTAATATAAGTAAAAAAAGTTTGCAAGAAACATGCTATGTACATACAAAAAGACACAAAGAGAGAGTGAGAAAGACAGAGAGAGAGTTTAAATAGGTTTAAACTTTAAATATGTATGTATGTATATGTATATGTATGGCTTTTATAAGCTGGGCAACAGTTCTTTTAACCCTAACTGATGCAAAAGTGATATATTCCTTTGATGGCAAATATATTCCTTTTTTTTTTGGCAGCCATTACTCCACTCTCTAGTGAAATCATCATTTGAATGTGCTGATTTAAAAGTAGTAAGCATCATTATTATTATTATTTTTTAATCACAGTTGAAAGTGTTTGCACTGGCCTAATATTTTTGTGAAAACTGTGAAAAAATTTTTCAGGATTCTTTGATGAACAGAAAGTACAAAATAACAGCATTTAAAATAGAGACCTTTTGAAACATTATGTCTTTGATGTCACTTTTGATCAGTTTAATTTGTCTTTCCCAAACTGTTGAACCCTAGCTGAACCCTAGTGGTCACATTGTAAGCTTGTAAAATTTCATGCAGTGCCCTTACCTGCTTTGGCGTAAGTAGAGATTAGAATGTCATCAGGTCTTGCTTGAAAGTTTTTCACCTTTTCCCAGTTGTCAGTGAAGTAGTGGATCATAGAAACACCCTCAAAATCAAACAGCTCAGGTCGGCTAGGTAGTTTCATCTGTAGCATTGAAAAGTGTTTTATTTAAAGTGTTTAATGCTGAAGCATCACTGAATGATCATTAGAGAATCAGAGAAAAAAAAATCATGCCTTTTGTCATAACTTTTATAAAATTTATTTCATAATACTCCTGTTTCTAATGTTGAATAATGGAGAGACTAAAACTTACTTTACAGTACTGTAAGTACAGTACTTTATATAAGGCCTTTAAACACTGCAATCATGTGATTTTCTGTGTTTCCAAATCATTATGTAGTCTATAATTTGTAACTTGCCAATCTTTATTCCCAAAGTTTTACACCCAGTGATGAATAAAATAGCTTTTGATTTATTAATCAGAGTAGGTGTTTCTTCAACTATATCTATATTTGAAGAAGAAATGTATTTACTCACTGAAGACAA